ATTGTCGATATCTACGTAAAAATGTCTCATCTTTCGATCTAGACTATCAAAAAAATTCCAAAAGTTGAAGATCATGGAGATAAAACGTGTTTTTCAAACAAGTGCATTTTTCGAGGTTATGGGAGCAAATTTTCGAAAAACTGATGCCACCACTGAAAAGCTGAGGAAAAAATATGTAAGAATATGTTTTTAGATAATTTTTTTATCAAAGTTTTGACACCAAAACGACAAGTTGAAAACGTCGTGTTTGACGCCCGCGCGGGCCATCCACCGCGGCGCTGGGACAGTTGACGTGATTCTCCCCATATATGAACCTTGAGAGACAAGGTTAGTAGCTGCATTGATATCCTCTATTTTGAAATGTTGTGTCATGATAAATTTATTTAAGTTTTCTAAATTTAAAACGAAGTGGTAAGAACCGTCTGGCTTGGTCACTAAAAAGTAGATAGAAATAAGCTGGTTATTTGATAGTAATCAGCGTTCTATGGCTTCTTTCAGTAACAATTTATTAATAGAATTTTTGATTTCTAGCTTCTCTTTAATTGGAAATCTAGAAATGACGACTTTATGAGCCGACGCTCTGATGTCTGGGAGCCTTACGCCTCTTATACACTGCAAGATAATCGGATCCGAAGTGATATCTTCCCATTTCCCGAAGAACCCCTGCAACCTACCAGCTGTGATACTTACATCGTCTAATACCGTTGGTTGTGGACCGCTCTCCTGCGTCTTTGGTACTTTCCTCGCTGGTTGAAGGGCTGATTGTAGGAAGTATTTCTGAATGACAGCCACGCTCTGTACCCACCTTGATGAGACCTGTATCCTCTGCCTGCCAGGTGCGGGCCTGACTTCGCCAGCAGGCTGCCCGAGTTTAAAGCTTGGCTAGGCGCAAGGGGGGGGGGTGTTGAGTCTTAGGCGCTGGTTTTGAAAATCTCTTAGCCACGTCTTTGATGGTTTGGCCTCCTTAACCTTCTCCGCGAGGCTATCTCCGATCAACATCTTTTCTGGCTTCATGTTAGCAAGCAGGGCTTTCGTATTTTTCTCCAGGCCTGACGTAATAAAGGCTCTTCGTGACTTCACCTGACTGGACATCAAGTCCACTAGCAGCTTAGCCGTGTCACTTAATTTCTGGATGCAGTCCAGCTTTTCAATGTCCTTTTTTTTCTTCTATGAATAAGATTAGGACTGCTCCGATAACGCTCAGAGCCCCGCAGGCCTCCTGTTGTCTAGTGAGAATAATGGCGTTACGCGTCTTTGCGCTAGACTGCAGCTTCAATGCAATTTCTGGATTAAGAGTGGATACCCGTATGTTGAACGGGCTACCGTATGTCTTTAGAAGATCCTCTCTCTCTTTTTTGTCTATGCCGTTTTAGAAATAAAAAAAGCCATCTATCCTCTAGAGAGGGATGAATTGAAAAGGACCTGGCTTTTATGGCTTGAGGGTCTTTTCCAATAATCTTGAGGATGTCATCATTAATAGAAATTGTCTATTCCTCCTTAGAGCTCTCCTCCTTCTCTGGCTCCTTTCCCTCTGCAACAAAAAAAAGCCAACGCAATGTAAACAAAGCCGTCGCACTTCTTGAGTCAGGCAGAACAAGGAAAGACATAGAAAAGGGGGGAAGGAGAAAATGAGAGAGAGATAGGTGTGAGAAGGTACCGAACCAGATGCACATGCATCTATTTAATCTCTTTCTCGCATACTTGGGCCTGACACGCGATGATGTAGGCCTGCGCCACCTATTTGTGTGGGCTAATGGGCAAAGTGTACATGCGTTTAGTATGTATGCATATATAGATATATATATCCGTAAATTATCCAAAAAAAAGACGATGTGGTGATTGTCCTAAGAGGACCTTCTTGTCTATGCATTCGCGATAGACGTCCCTCTTTGCTCTTACGCCTAACAAGAATTGCACGTACGTACCTTTGTTTGAGCCATCGTCGCTCTTACTGCTCTTGTGCTCGGACCCCTCGAAAGAAGCGTCTGAGTCGGACCCAGGATCATCGTCTTGGGGCTGCTTCTCCAAGGTCTCTTTGCCTCTTCTCAGCAAGTTCATCTGCTCAGAAAGCAACCTCCTCTGCTTCTGCAGGACCTTGTCATCCCTGTCCTCAGCCTTTCTCTTGCCCATCACTTTCACTTTTACCTATTAGCGCACGATGTTCACTCTAGCACACAATGAAAAAATATGAAAAGCTTGGTGGCAGGCGCGGAAAAGAGAACCCCTCTCCCTGTGCTATATATAGACATATGTATAGTTTCTTTTTATATATAGGGCTATGGACGTTGTGACCTCCAGCGGATGAAAGGGTAACTACGAGTAATCTCGAGAACGAGGCGAATGAAGTATAAGCGTCATTATCATTATCTTCATTGTTAGTATGACCATCATTATTATTATTGTTACATTCGTTATGACCATCATCATCTCAATCATCATAGTAATCATCAACAGCATCATAATCGTTATCATTATCATTACAGTTATACCACTATCAGCACTATTATTACCGCCTAAATAATCACAATCGTAAAAACAGACAACAGTCCAAGACTTATTCCTAAAAAAATACTATCATCATTTAAACCACCACTTTTATTAGTATTTCCATGACTACCATCATCATTGTTATTATGGTTCTCAGCATTATCATAATTATTCATATAATTGTCATAGTTAATATAATTTTGCTAAATGACAATGACATAACTTTCATAATCATCACATATCGTCGTTATCGTCGTTATTATTATTGCTATTACGGATAACATCATTATCCTCGTCATAATCATTATTATTTTCCACTTTATTATCATCGTGATACGTATCACTATCATAAGCAAAATTATTATTAATTATTATTATTTTTATTTTTGTCAATTTTATTATTAATGATTTAACAAACTCACTTGTAAGTTAAGTTTGATCGTAATTATACGAAGAGCCTCGTTCGAAGAGATTACTCGTAGTGACCCTTTCATCCGCTACAGGTCACAACGTTCATAGCCCTATATCTGAAAAGAAACTATACATATATTTATATATAGCGCAGGGAGAGGGGTTGACTTCCCAGCGCCTGCCGCGCGAGCTTCTTATATCTTTAGAGGTTTTTTTTTTTTTTTTTTTTTGGGACGGGTTGAATATGATTGAGAGGGATCGTTATCCCTTCGAACGAGGCTTTTCGTATAATTACGATCAAACTTCACTTACAGGTGAGTTTGTTTGATCATTAATTATACTTCATTTACCTCGTTCTTAAGATTACTCGTAGTTGTTTAGAGAGAGAGAGAAGAGATTACGAAACATAAAATCTATATTTTACATCTTAACTTAACATTCTTTCATTACAACAAATGTGAGGTATAAGCGATCATATTCTTAATGTCTAATCACCTTAGAGGCGAATTCGGATTTATCCGGCAAGATTGGTCTGTTATAGAACTTTGCGAATACCTCTGATCCTGTGGACCAGCCTGCGGTTCTCATAATCGTATCTATGCTCACCCTGGCCCTAAGTGCCGCTGAAGAGGACGCGTGCCTCGTGGAGTGCCCTGAAAATGTAGTGGTGTCTATTCTGCTCTTATCTAAGACTAGCTTGAGCCAGCCAAAAAGGGTCTGAGATATGATGGAACTACCTCAACATCTCAGGTTTGGTTATACTTAGGCTTCGAAGGGCGTAAGGCAAACACACCCCTTTAAATTCTTACGACTAAGGGATCCTGGCCCAGCTCCGCACCCAAGACTAGAGAAACGGCTGATCTTATGCAATTCAAAGTACCGTAAGCTGCCCCTTTATTATACTGTTCTGACAAATACGCGAGTAAGGCGCGGGCACATGGAGAGAAGAAACTAATGCCGTTGGATTTACAATAGGAATCTCAGCCCTTAAGGGCTGATCCATATTGCCTTATCGTCGCCGACGAGAACGATGCGAGGAGTATATCTGGAAGGACTTCCGGATACTATTGCGGCCATTAAACGCAGATGACTCGCCTGAGGATAAGTGAGCTGCCTATGGAAAGATAAGAGCATATTAGATGACGGACCCGTGAAAAGCTCGCGACTGACTAGCAATTCCATAAATTAAGGAAACCAGGATTGGTTGGGCCAGTAGGGTACCACAATGATACCTGTTGCCCTGTCTCTCTTGATTTTGACCAGAGTTCTTAAGACCATGCTAAAGGGGAGAAAAGCGTAAAACTTCACCCGCGACCAGGTTACTGTAAAGACATCAATTTGCGCGGCCTCGCGGTCGGGTCCCCACGAAAAAAATTTTCGGCATTTAGCGTTATGACTGCTCGCAAGAAGATCGACCTCCAGAGAACCAAACGTATGCACGATTTCCCGGAAGAGTATATCGCTTAACTCCCACTCCGTATCCTCTCCTAGTCTCGAGAGTCTATCGGCTGCCTTGGTATCCACAGAGGCAATATGTGACGTGAAAAGAAAAATCTTCCTCTCTTCTGCCCCATCCCAGATTTTCCTGGCTAGCTTGTTAAATCGTGGGTAGCGCACACCTCCCATCTTGTTAATATACGCTATTGCGGTGGTATTATCGACCCTTCATAGGATCTGGCAGCCCGATAGCTCATCCGCGAGGCTATCTAATGCCAGCTTAACTGCCAATAATTCCTTGAAATTAATGCGCAACCTCTCACTGTCGCCATCCCAAGAACCATGAACCTACCAACGGCCATCGGTGGCCCCCCAACACGAGTTTGAAGCGTCGGTGAAGATCTGGATTGCAAAGTCCCACGTCTTGAAGCTATTTGTGAAAGTTAAAATTTTTTCAGACCACCACGTTAGGTCTGGCACAACGGATTCGCATATCGGCATTTTCTTAGGAAAATCAAAATTATTCCTGTAAAAAGCTAACGTTTTTTCCCTCTCTAACATTTTTATGTGCACAAGCCCGTATTCGATCGCTGGTGCCACCGCCACCAACTTTCCGAGGACCGTGGCGAAATCTTCTTTTAAGAAAGCCTTGCTTTATAAAAGATTCTTTATTCGTTCTAGCAGTCTAACCCTCTTTTGCTGCGGAAGCTCGAGGGTATACTTCTGCAAATCTATTATGAATCCCAGAAAGTTGCATGTGACGCTCGGGGCTAACACGCTCTTTTTCCAACTAATTAGGAATCCCAGAGAGATGAGAAGGTCGATCGTGCACTCGACGTTCTCTAGACAGCCCGCATATCCCTCATGGATAATAAAAAAGTCATCTAAGTACAATACCGAGGACCACCATTTCTGACGTAAAGTAGCTACCACGGGTTTTAATATCTTTGTAAATATAAATAGGGCCAAATTTAAGCCAAAAGGCAGGCAGGTAAACTGGAATAACTGCTCCTCCCAGATTGATCTTAAGAATTTTCTGCTTTCTATGTGTATGGGGACCATGTGAAAGGCGTCCTCCAGGTCTATTTTACGCATATGGGGAGAATTACGTCAACTGCCCCAGCGCCGCGGTGGACGGCCCGCGCGGGCGTCAAACACGACGTTTTCAACTCGTCGTTTCGGTGTCAAAACTTTTCATCATTATCATCATTATTATCATCATTATAATCATCATCATTATCATCATCATTATGATTATTAGCATCATGATCTTTGTTATTATTATTATATTAAATTACTCTATTATCACAACCATCGGCGTCTCAACTAATGCAATCACAAAATTAAACAACAGTCTAAGTTGTATTACCAAAGTTATTATTATCACCACTATATCCATCACTTATTTAACTATGCTTATTTTCAGCGTTATTTTAAGCATTATTAGAATCGTCAATACCATCATCATTATCATATTCATTATTTTTATATGTATCATGTTAATTGGCATAATTATAGTCATAATCATTATTAGAATCATTATCATCATTATTATTATCATAAACATCATTATTATTGTTATTACTATGAGTATCCGTAGTATCCTTATTATCATTATCAATATTATTATTATCGTCATCATCATTATCATCATTATTATCATCATTATAATTATCATTGTCGTTTACATTATCATATAATTACATTATCATATAAATACATTACATTATTATATAAATCACTATTAATATAATTGTTTCTACTATCATCATCGTGATTATTAGCATAATTACTATTATTTTCATTATTATTTTTTTCATTAACACTTGTATGACAATTATCATTTATACTACCACCATGATCATTAATATTATCACTATCATTATTATTTTTCATTATAATTACGATTATTGGCATTATTATCATCATTATTGTTGTCATTATCATGAAAATTGTCGTTATTGACATCATTAAAACCATCATTGTTATTATTATCTTTCTTTTCATCATGATAGTTATCATTTTTATATTTTTTTATTATTATGTCCTATATCATCATTATCATTTATAACATCATCATCACATCATCATCATTAACTTTATTATTATCATTATCATGACAATTATTATTACAACAATGATGGTTTTAATGATGATAATAACGAAAATTTAAATGATAATGACAACAATAATGTTAAACATAACATATAAAACGACCACATTTATACTAACGATGATAACGATGTAAAAAATCGTAAAAATAATAATCATGATACAATTGTTGATGATAATAATGATGCTAATAATAAAAATGATGATAGTTATAAAATAAAAGATAACTGTAATGATAATAATAATAAAAATAATACCAATACCGATGATTACAATAATAATATTTATAATAAAGATCATAAAAATAATAATGATTCAAATGATGACTAAAATAATGATGAAAATGATGATAATGAAAAAAATAATAATGATGATGAGGATGATGATGGGAATGATAATGATGATAATAATAATGATGATAATAGTGATGATGATAAGGATGTTAATAATGGTGACCGTTATAATGACATTAATAATAACTATGATTACAATGTCCATTATGATGATAATGACTATGCTGATGATGATATTGATAATCGTACTTCAA